CTGAAACGAAAGGCCACAAATGCGAATCTTTACGCAAGGATGTGCGACTGTGTTCAGGGACCCAAGCCATTGTGCTGCTGAAATCAATGGAATGGATCTGTGGTGAACTTTGGCAAAAGCTCTTTGTGGAGTGGAGTTAATAGCATTGGTGCATTTCTCTTTTACTAACTTGGTTCTTATTTCCCCCTATTCGTTAGTAGTTTCATAGTAAGAAGTTGAAGACACCACTGCAGCGGTACTTATGGTTGATTTATATGGTGGTTAAGACACACCTGGCAATATGGTGGCAAATACACGCCTGTCCACACACGCTGTCTAGGCTGCAAAGTTCTGGCACAGAGCTATCCTTCTCACCATCACCACCACAAGTACAGCTGCAGCAATGTCTATAACTACATTCTCCCAAGTCAAGCTCCGTATGAAGACATCCAAGAAGAAGATTGCCTGATGAGTCCAGCACGGACTAAATGTACATCGCCATCCAGCTATGTTATTGGTTGGTCATCTTCTACGTGCCATGCGCTACCTGATGTACCAGCCTGATGGGTCGTTTACCGCAAACCATGCATCAGCTAGGCACCAGGCGCAAGTTGATGGTGGTGGTGGCGGGAAGGCGAGCTCTTTCCCCGAACTTTGCAGGCTACAGACCGTGTGTAATATAGTATAGATCATAGGTTTAATGGTTTTCTAATACCTTTGGTGCGTAGCAAAAATGCAGAGCAGGCCGCAACACAATTCACTGCAAAGCTTGAGTGAACTGACAATGCACACTTTTACGATTGCAGGGTACTGCCACCTGTCCACTAACAATCAGCGAAAATGGGTCATTTTACTGAAAACACACCATCTCTCAAAAGTGCGTAACTCACACAAGTCTCCACAAGGTCTTACACCAGCTATAGAGCTAAGTGAATGTGTAAAAAAAGTCATGTCCCAGTTGCGCAAGTGAAAGAAACTGAGCTTTCACCCGCCATTCCACTCTCCCTTGCTCGAATCGAGCTGACATTTCTTTTGACAACTCCTGAGAGTCCACTGCTGATTTGAACTTCAGTTGCCATGGCACCAAACGTCAAAAATGCAGAAAAAATGAAAACCAAGCGCCCACACACGGCACAAAAATAGTTGTTCTTGCCGTGTTAGGCTCTGTAGCCGTTGAGCACCATTACTCAGCGTTGCTTTATCCCATCGCTTCGACGGTTGTTGCAATCGAAAGCTGAGAGTTGTCTACTCGATCTACATACTTGTGGGAATCGAGTACGGATTGACTGAGTTACGATTGTTCAAACACATGCGCCTCCAGAAAGTTTTCATTGGTACACGCTGTACACTCAGGACGCAAATATACGTCCTTAGTGGACGGGCGTCATTCTCGAGGACGTAAATATACGTCCTAAGGGCCTGGTCAGACTGAGGCAAAAAAGAAATAATCCTGTGATTATAATCCGAATCTCCATTGTAACTGGCCGCCAGAGCGGCAAAATCGAGAGTTGACGCTCCAAAAAAAAGCAAGAACGGACGACGCTTTTCCGCTCCAAACAGGAGTTGGACGCTGATACGCCATTGACGCTGATATTCATTGATTTTTTCATCTCGATATCGAGGAGCTAATTGGCCATGGACAACAACAAAACCCATAAGGGTGGTTGTAAGGATTGCACTGAAGGTGTTGGCGATCCCCAAGGTGAAGGAATTTGTTATCGTTCGTGGATATTACCACTTGACGCTCGAAATGAAGTTTTAATTCCCGTAGCTATGCAGAAGACGTTACTTCAGTAACGTCTGGCGCTAGCCAGGGTCCACACAGCTTTAATTTGGTGTTTGTTTGTGTGTTTGTTTGTTTGTGTCACGCCTGGCGCTATTTTGTATCTATCCCGTACTGTACCGTACCAGCAAAGACAGCTGGCCACAATATTTTTGTTTGTTTGTGCCATCGACATGCCTGGCGCTATCCCGTACCGGTCCCGTATCATCAAGAGTACGGTACCATCAAGAGAATGAGTATATATGCGAAGTGTATGGGGGAATGCATTCAGTGCAGTAACATTAAATTTTGTGTGGATTTGTGTGCGAGGCCAAGATCCCACTAGCAGGCTGGCTGGGCCGCCTGTCGACCAGCCCGGAAATCGCATGTAGGCCGATAGCATAATAATTATAACGTATATACAGTCATGTAGATGTATAGCAGGGAGTCATATTATGTAAACGACTCCCTGCTGTATGGGGAGATTTTCTGGAAAGAAATACGAAGTAGGGAGACGAGTAAATGCAATCAGAATGGATGTTAGTTGCCGTCAGTATAATAATAATAAGAAGAAGAAGAAGAACGCCCGTGATCGGCAGAGTCAGCGCCGGTCCCAGGAAACGTCAGGACAGACATCCCGTCGACTCCAGAACGCCCGTGATCGGCAGAGTCAGCGCCGGTCCCATAGCTATGCAGAAGACGTTACTTGTACTTCAGTATCTCATTGAAACGTTTTTGCAAAACAATGATTTAGCTAATCAAAGGAAAAAGCATTTCCATCAGTTCTAACAACATGCACGATGAGCTAGGCAACAAAGCATAGCGCAGGGCCCTGAGCTTCCAAGCTCTCTCGTTTTCATTCTCCCCACATGTGTGTAGTGTCACCGCGATTCTAATTCTGGACACTTTTCTGTTTTCGTCAGGCACAGAAAATTTGCCGCAGTCTGACCAGGCCTTTAGCGGTGAATGGGTAAAGTAGAAAATATATTGGAAACAGAAGTGCAGCTGTTATGTGCTCAAGTCCAATAACTACGGTCCAATCATTGTAAAGTGGCATTTTAACATTTTTTCCCTCAAACCAGTTACAAAATTTTGTTTCTCCAATGTATAATGTTATAAGTATCATGAAAACAACAGTTCATCCTGTATTGGGTGACCCGTGCAATTATTTCTTGCCACGTTTGTGGGCAGGAACATCCAGGAAAGGGAAATTAGGTTGGTTATTCCACCAACTTTTCCAAATTTATGACAGGTATGCCGCGGCAAAATGTATAGAGAAGCCGATCCAAAACCCAGATTTTTCAAGTTGTAGCCCTTTAGTGCTAGAGCACTTACTACATGGTTGCTCTTCTAGTGCACGCTGGCCAAACAAACTGATTTTTAATTGTCATGGCCGCATGACTTTTTCGCTCTGTCTGCATAAAATTGGCAAGCTGTAGAACTGCCTTCCACGAAGGCTGACATCTCAAGATTCACTTTCTGGACGTCAGCAAATGTCAGCAGCAATTCGCTTGTACGTGAAAAGTTGAAAATTTGACTATAGCGGTACATCCCTAGACATCGTAGTGTTTTATTTCAAACAGCATAGCCCTGACTAATTGCTCATTATTTAGATTTCCTCACTGCCTATACCTAATCCCATCAAGACATCCCCTTTAGAAGGGATCCCCTTGACAGGCCATTGCCTCTGGAAGATCCCTTAGTAATTATTATAAAAAATTAGGGCTGAAAGTTGGCACTGAGATCCCGAGTTCGAGTACTCTGATTTTCTCCGATCGAATATTCGAGTATTCGAGTAGTCTTCATCTCCTAAATATTGCACACCAAGGGGCTTAAAATCACATGATACAACCCTGATCAACGCATATGGTCGATTGGTTTGCAGGCCTGCCTGCGAATCATTAGGTCCCGAGTTCAAGACCCGCGCTGGTAGCAGGGAGCGTGTAAAAAGACTTTTTACGCGTGTTGAACTGCGCCAACATCCACGGTCAACTGGGTACTCACAACTCGGAGTGAGAATAACAAGGATGCAGTTTATAGGATTATGGGCCGTTACACGCCCGATTGGTTGAGAGACTAACCTCCTCTCCCCTGACTCACTTGTGAGGTCTGCATTCGCCACTAAGGTTAACAGGCATAGTGGTGGCCTGCGGATGCGAATGCTAGTTTGCTTGTTTCGGAACATTCAAGGGATGCCGACGCGGATCTAGCGAATATTATTATTACAACCCTGATCGAATCGAGTAGCAGTCATTTTTCTCGGGTATATTGGTTGGTTGGTCATTTGGGCTCTCTCTACTCGTGAACAAATGTTCACCACACAGTCTGTGTTGTATTATGATGTAATGCATTACGTAGCCATGCAAGAGCATGCGCGATATACGCATCTCGCAGCTGCCTACTTTCATGCAGGATCCTTTAAATGTCGTGGTTCTTATGATTTGCCTACAATGGCCAAGTGAGAATATAATCCTATCGTAAACAACTAACTTGTTTACCCCGAAACATGGTGTCAGAAATAAACTAAATAAACGCCCTAGAATTGTCGCAGTAGCGCCACCGGTGCAAGAGGTAAAAATGGCAGAAGCAGCCGGATTTACCCCGCCGTCGATGGATTGGCAAGCCGCAGATTTACCTGACGAATTCGAGCGGTTCCAACAATATTGCCTTCTAGTTTTCCAAGGGCCCTTTTCCGACAAGTCCGACAAGGAAAAGGTCGCCTATGTCATTCTATGGATCGGGAGAACTGGTGTTGATGCTTTCAATATTTTCGAGTGGGATAATGCAAGCGACAAATCCAAAGTAGCTGCCGTCTTCAAGAAATTTAATAAGCATTTGCAGCCACGGGTAAATGCACGACTGGCTCGGTTTGAGCTTCAGAAATACCGCCAGCAACCCGACGAGTCTGTAGATGATTTCTTTGCGAGGTGTAGGAAGAAGACGTCCAAGTTCAAGTTCAGGGACGCTCAGGAGACTAACGACCGCCTGATAGAACAGCTAATCGTGGGACGAAGCACTCGAAAGTGCAAGAATGCCTGCTGGAGGGTGGTAGTGATTTGACTCTGGACGAAGCGCTTGACAAGGCCCGTACTTATGAAGCAACACAGCGCCACATGGAGCAGCTGTCCACCGCCACCAGCAGCAACCGTCTACCTGAAACGGTTCACGCCATTTCCAAATCTGTGGGACACGCAGACTGCGGCAAATGTGGACGAGCCCACCACCCAAGCAAGTGCCCAGCGCACGGCTCCACCTGCAA